TCTGAACCATATGTATTTTTTTTTAAACCACAAAAATATGAAACACAGTACAGTACAGTACAGTACAAAGAGAGAGAACACTAACCTTCCTCGAGGCGACTTCTGGCATGGAGGACAGGAAGGCGGGTGAGGAGGCGGTTATTGTTTGGAGGGAGAGTCCCCCTCCCTACAGAAAGCCACGACCACGTGTGTCAGCAGGGAAAATGGCCATGGATCCTGTTCATCACCCGATGCGGAGTTTGCGAACGGAAGCAAAATTTTGGGAACGGAGCTGTTCGTGACCCGAATTGGTTGTGAACAGAAGCGTTCGTGAACCGAGGTATTACTGTATTTTTGGTTGTTACTATGTACACCACCCAGAGTCACTATGTGCGATGGGCAGCTATACAAATGTGAATAAAAAATAATGGAATTTCAATTCATCTATTAATGTACAGAAAAACATATCTATAATTTTTGATATATTAACTTCCACATATCTGAAAATATTTTTGGTGTATATATAGTCCTAATTATTTAATATATTCTTTTTTTCTAACATCCAAAATCTTACCTTGATCCATTGATATATCAGATACTAAAGAAAATAAGTTACATTGTTCCTAATTAGTCTTATAACATGAATATTTTCAAAATGTTGAACCACCATTTCAAGTTAGGTAATGATGTACAACCATTATCTAGAATTGCCGGGATATCATCAGCATGTAATAATAATGTACACCCCGGATTCACCATAGTAATACCCGTGATATCATGAGATTGCCTAACAATATTTGCTAATGGTCCAAAAAAGCAGCAGAGCGAGCTCCTGCTTCCTCCCCAGCTCCTGCCGGATAGGTGCCACACTGTAACTCAATTGAAACAATAATTAAATAATTGTTACTTCTCTTGCTATTGCTTGCAAGTAATAAATTGCTATCCATTTAATAAAAGAAACCAGGAAGCTATTTGCTTCAGAAAAGGATGGATCTGGTTGAATGCAAGACCATGAGGGGTTGTTCAGCTAGACTTGAAAGAGACTGTGCTTTTACTTTCACTTTTCACAGTCTCTAGGGCAGTGTTTCTCAACCTTGGCGGCTTTAAGATATGTGGACTTCAATTCCCAGAATTTCCCAGCTGGGGAATTCTGGGAGTTGAAGTCCACATATCTTAAAGCCGCCAAGGTTGAGAAACACTGCTCTCAGGGATTAACTCCTCTTTTCTAGGCACAAAACTTTAAACAACCCTTCCAATTTGTTAATTACTCAGAGATTACATTCTTCTTCAACCAACCAATCCCAATCCTGCCTGTGCAAAGCTGACTCTAGCAATAGGAGGGGTGGAGAAATAAATATTTGCATAATATATGCAGGCAAGTGAAAGGTGAGAATCACACTGAGGTTTTCTGATGGGAATTGGTCTCCTGTGTCCTCCCTCATTCCAAAGCTAAAGGCTGTGATTAAGAAAGAAACAGCCTCCATTTCGCCAATTCAAATAAATGGGAAATATATTTTATTATTTCACCATCATTTTGCTCACTATGACCTACAAGATAACGGCAGCAAGGAACTTTATAAAGCTTGAAGGGTTGTTTTTACAACATGGGCGTTCTGAAGACCTGCTCTCTAGGCTACATGCGGAGGACTTTGTTCCTCTAGGCTTCCTTGCCGCCTAGGGGAAAGTCCCCGGACCCCGGGCAGAGAGTGCCGCGTGCTCACACGTGCGCAATATACCCTCTAGCAAACTCACACCACTGCCGCCAAGAAGCTCTCAGGGCCGAGCGGGTGAATGCGGGGGGCCTCTCGTCAGCTCCATAGTTACGCAGGTAGTGCGCATGCGCTCCTTTCCGGAGGAGGCGGTCGCACCAACAGAACGGGGCTCACTCTTTGGACGCTTCCTTTTTTGTGTGTCTATGGGCATCTTATAACCCTGAATTTTATCGGTCCGGTCCCGGAAAATGTAGCGAGACTGAAATCGTTGCAGTTTTTGCTACCATTCTGCAATGCAAGGGTTTTGTTCCCTGTTTTCTGGGGCTTGAGAAGGCTGTTGCATGACAAAGAACATTCGCACAAAAACCTTGTAAGTTTGTATCCCTTGTCAGCGCGTTTGGGAGACGTGTTTCCCTGATTGGCGGGGTATAAAAAAATAAGAAATATACAAGAGCAGATTCATCGTCTATGGTACGCCTTCCTTCAGAGCCCCAGAGAGTCCTTTGCAGGTCTTTGAATGTTGTTTTAGAATATACTGTTTATTGCGTAACGTGGAACTCCTGCTTCTTCGGTTACCTTCCCCAGCCAGGCCAGAGAAAACCGCTGCCAAATGTGAAAATGCACAAGAGAAGCCCGTTTCTGTCCCGCGAGCAAACTGCTTATTTTTCCTGGGCAGCTGGCCAGAGAAACCCCGTCTAGGTCCACAGAAAAACTGGTAGGGCCGCGCTCCGTAACAGCGGCGCCGCTTGACCTTGTGTGCCCGGCTGCGGCTTAAATGGAACGCGCCACCGGACTAGCGCGCTAGGTACGCGGGACGAGCGGGGGAAGACGAAGCCTAACTTTTGCCATCAAGCGGGGCTGAGGTTCTTTCTAGCGCGGACGAGGCGACTTAATGCTCGTTTGCGCACTCTCGCTCATTTCAGACGATGTAAGCGCAGATCCCGTGTCATGCTGGGACCCAATGCGACTGGTGTGTCTGTCGTGAAAACCCTGCCTGGAAGTTGCATCTGCTTCTCTTAAATTTGGTTCCTCGCGATTCTTGCGCTGCCTGCTTCGGTGTGCTATACGCGGCTATAAAAAGAGGACGGATGGAAGAGGGCAGCAGTCGGCAAGCGTGCGGCGGTGTGCTTCGTTCCTACGGCTTTATTTCTGCCCGTCTCCCCGAGCGGAGAATTCGCTGGAGGAAAGAGTGGGAGCGGCTTAGGGCGGGGAGACAGCATATTTCCATGAGACCCGGCAGAGCGTAATTCTGACTCGGTCTCTTTAAATGAAACCCCGCCTCTCCCTCCCGCCCCGTTTGTCTTCTGACGTCCCACCGTGCTGGGCCAATGGCATCGGCTGTAAGGGGAAGGCGGGAGAATGCGAACCGGCCGCACCTTATAAGGACATGGCCTCGCGCATGCGTACTTTGTGGGGCGAAGGGGGGTGCGAGGAAGGAAAAAGAGGCGGGGAGTTCCAAGTGAGGCAGGGGAGCATTTCTCTCCCCCCCCCTTCGGCCGATTAAAGACGCAGCCTCCTGAGAGTCTTTCCCTCGCCGCCCCCTTTCCTCCTCTCCTGCCCTCGCGGGATCCGAGCGGGCTGAACGAAGAGGGAAGGGGGTGTCACGTCCGGTAACGATGTTGGGGTCGCCGGGGCAACAGCCCGGGGGGGCGGGGTCTGGGGCGACGGCGACAGCGGCTGCCGGGTCTGCTGCTACTGCCGCCGGCGGGGCTGGGGGTATCGCGACTTTCCCGTGCGGAGGGGCGTCGGAGAGGCTGCTGGCGCGCTACGTGCAAGACTACCTGGAGTGCGTCGAGTCGTTGCCGCTGGACATGCAGAGGTTGGCCTCGCTCCTGCGCGAGATGGACACGCGCTGCCGGGGTAAGCGAGAGGGGCGCGAGCGCGATGGGGGGCGGCGGTTGCGCCGATGACGGGCGCGAGCAACTGATTGTGGGGACTGCGCTCCCTCCGCTCAGTCCGAGCGCTCTTCCTCCTGAAGAGGAGGGGCGATTCCCTTCTCCTCCTCCCGACTCTGGGTTGGGGGAGAGAAAATGGCCTCCCTCC